TATTATAGTGTTGGAACATACCCAAACTGCTACCATAATCTCTGAAATGTTACTGTTCTCTGATTTAGGTGTCTGTGTCAAGAATAAAAATGAAGTATAACTGGTAGCAGTAGACTATTTCCTAAATGTAATTTAGTATTCACTAAGCACCAGCACTTTGCAAATAGCTCTGAGGCTTTCCTTCAAAGTTCAGAGCTCTAGTTATGCATATTGTGTGAGGTACACCATGCAGCTCACCTCCAGCCTCTGTTGTGCTGAATAGATGGCTATGATAAATCACGCTGATTTGGCACTGAAGGGCATCAGCCATCAAGGATTTGACTACTATGTCTTTTTTTCCCTGAGATTATATCTCCTTGAACTGCCTGCCCTGGGCTACTGTTTTGGAGAAAATTAAAAAGTGGAAAAAATGCTAGGGGAGGCCAGTACAGAAAGCCTATACAGGCTCAGCTCTCTGGAAACCCATTAACACCAGTCACAAGACTGGCAAAGAAAACATCGGTGGTTGTTTAAAAGTCAAGCCAAGTCATTTTACGCAAGATCTGGTAATTCATTAATCAATCTGGCTGCAAACCTTGAATGAATAACCTGAAATAGTGAAAGACACTGGCAGCACCAGAGAACACGAGACAGTTTATAATCCGAACCAATGCAAATTACCCTGGTGATGTTTAAGGCTCCCCTCTACCCTCATCATCTTCCTGATGCAAACCCTTCCAAATAATAAGAAATCATTTATCTCCATGAATTTCCCTGCTGCCAGGGGCAAGACAGCATGCATTTCATTGTGCAGCTCTTTCTCTCCCCACATTACCACTGCTTGTAATACAGCATTTTTTGGCAGCCTACAATAAAACATAGTAGCCTATTTAGGCTTTTCAAACACATGGCACATAGCATGGTCTTTGAAAGTAATGTAGGCTACACCTATGCAAAACAATTAAAAATAAAGTCATCAAATATGGCGGCATCTCTCTGGAATACAGAATTATGTAAATAAACGAAATCCACAGAAGGGCAAGCAATGTGCGTTTTCTGAAGTCTTTTTAAAGGTAGAAAAAAGTGTTTTGCCAAGTATGAGAATACCACACTTAAAAATCTTTATGATTTTACAGTAGTTCATTTACTTCAACAGGTTATTGCCTATCTATGGGCTGCATTTTCTCTTAATATCAGCTGAGTTACTTGTAAGCAATGCCAACAAAGAGATATATCCACCATGGATATCTTTTCTCTCCACAATGCTAGGCATGAGTCATAAATAATTTCAAATGTGACTAACCTTACTTGATAGGGTACGGTATATTTGAAGAAGCCTCAGGGGACAACGGTTTTCACAAACAAAAAGCCTTCTCACTTATGCCACATTAAGCTGTATGGTTGTTCAAGTTCACACAAACCATTGGCTTTGAGAACGAAAAACTAATCATTCTGATTTTCTGGAAGTAGGCAAATCAGTTTTTTACAAATGCAATTTTTTTAAGTCTAGTTCTTCACAAAAGCAAATCATAAAAATGAATGATGCAGTGAACCATCTAAATAACCGGTCTTGGGTGACTTATGAACTATTTACTTGCATGAACGTGTGTCAACAGACAGTGCCCCGAGGGGCAAGAACTTCTGCATTTTCTCTTTCCAGTAGTCAGAAGAACAGGCAAAGAAAACTAGGTGAAAACCAGAAGTGATCAAGCTGTGAACGGAAAGTAATCAACTAATGCAGAACATGCAAATGTAAACACATGGATAAGAAGAGCCTCCGCGCTGGGGCAGAATGTACAGGCTTGAGTCAGGACTAGTATCTGTTACATTGACGTGCAAGTAGAACAACGCAGTGATGAATTAGGTGCTTCTACAAGATACTGGTGCATGTTAATACTAGGGTGAAGGCCAGTTATCTCATCACACCTAAGTGGATGAAAGCAGGGATTTATACTCAACAGTTACATACTATCTACACTAATTGGACCTTTATCTCACTTGGCTCCTGGTTGCTACCATAACTATGAATAATTTGTAGTCCATGAGACTCCCAGTGCCACTGGGAGTGTCTAAGCTTGTGGGTGCTTGGCTCAAGCAAGCTTCCATGAAAATGATTTGCAGAAAGTCTGAAAATTCACCTTCTGAAATACAAGCCTTTTCTTAAAAAAGTGCACCTGCTTGAGACATCCAGGAACTTTGTAAAGGGCTTTTGAACACTGGCCCTCACCTAGAAAATGCCATAGGTACTGCATTAATACCTCAAAGGAGAGTGTGCTTCATTCAAAGTTAGGTTTGGCAATTAACACTGTACAGCTTCTGCAATTAACGCTGCTCTCGTACTTCCTAACATCTGTTTGCTATTCTGGTTCTTTCCTTTCCACCCTAAACAGACTGTATTTCTACTTTTGTATGACAAGTCTTCATCTGGAAGCTTAGGTTGCATAAAACATACTACTCCCGCAATGATATGAGAGGAAAAAAAAAAAACAGTAAAAAAAAAAAAAAAAGTTATTCTCTTTAAAAAGAAAAGCCAAAGCGATCAAATATGGGAAAATCTAGAGATCATCAAACGGGAAACTGCACAAAACTTCCATTCTCTCAGCTAAAACAAATAGTTCCTTGCAGAGTATGTGAGATAGTCTCTGGAGGAAGAAGACATCTTCTTCTGTTCTTAAGCACCCCCGGTCATCACATTACAGAGCGGCAGAAGAGAGAAATAGTGTAAGGCATCCAGCTGCACAATGGAGAATGGGGACAGGATTAATATATGGGAGGAGAAAACAACTGAAACAACTGTTTGATGCCCATCTTCCTAGGCCAAGCAACCAAGAAATGTAAATACAACACACTACAAAGCTGAAAATAGTCTGATTTTGCACTGCAATATTGCAAAATGCTATTAGAGCAAAATTTGTCCCTACAGGTAAGTATGGGCCAAATGGTGCTGTCAGAGACCATGATGCAGCCTCCAACTGAAGCCAGTGAGTGCGAGGAAATCCAGGCATTTGCAAAGAGGGCAACAGAATTTGCCCATCAGGAAAAAAACCCAGTATATTTCATTACCAAACTATTATTTACGACTTATTAGTTGCTGCCTGGATATTTTCCCCCACTTGCATACCACCTGTTTCTTCACACCAGGGCTGCTCATCCTCAGACACACCCAAACGGGCCCAGGAGAGGTTACATGTAATGACCAGTACCTTGTGTCACCATCTCCCAGTAAAGTTACGTACAAGCTTATCTGTTTGCCTCACAGTTTCTTCCAACATGCTTGATTTTCAGAATGGGAATTGTCTCATATAGGAAACAACGATACCTATACAAGGTATATAGGGGAATCATCACTACCTATATGAGACAATTTTGTATTCAGCAGCTGTGACCACCATTGCAGACAGACAGTTGTTCACACAGCAAGCAATGAGCCTTGTGGTTAAGTTACACTGGTTGTATTGGACTGATTTGTGTGCTTAAAGTTGGTAGATGCTTAATTATATTACTTATCAGGAACTTAGATTTTGAAAATCCGTCTCTTCTACTGATCCTTCCAAAGAAAAATGCCTCTGCATTTGGCTTTCAATGAATGAGGAAAAATACAGTTATATGAAAAGCAAAACCACTCTGTCTCACACCAGCTGCTAATGTGTCCCCTGTCCCCCTGCCTCCCTGCTATCGACCATCCAGACCTATACACCAATACACCGTACCTTGCCTGAGGCGGTACAACTGCCATTCAAGAACAAGACAGGGTTTGGAAACTTTGTAAAACAAGGCATGGAACATTATAGGACTAATGAAAAAAGAGAGCCTAAGCACAGGGTTTTGCAGGGATAATTTCATTTTGATTTGAATAAAGTTAATTCCAAGTTACTTGGGTGTAAATGACAGAAACTGAATAGAGAGGACCTGTTCCTGCTATCAGTTACACTGGTATAAATCCAGATTAACTTCATCTGCACAGCAAGGAGATCACTGTGGGTTTAGAGCTGTACACAAAAAGGAAGAATTTCATTCAGGACATCTTACGTAAGCATTTTACTATACTGTTTCAGTTAATCTTTTCCAGCCTTTAAACTCCACCGTGATAATATGGGGCTTCCCCAAGACAGCGGGCCAGCTGTACTTCCTGGAGCTGTGGTACCTGCCGCGTGAGAGGCAGAACCCTTGGCTCGCTGTTGCACAAGGTCTTCCTGCTAGCTAATCAATTTATTGTCCAATTTCCCAGTCAGTGGACGATCTATGGCATCTCCTATCATCAAGAAGGGAAGGAGGTCAGGGTTCAGGAGGGGCATGGCTGTCCCATAACCATGGGGCAGCGAATCACGAAGGCTTTACACAACAAAAGAAAGAAGACAGGAGACAGAGATAAAGAGACTGTAACTCTCCTCTTGTACACCCTGGTCCTCAAGGCAGAATTGTAAAGAAAACATTTAAATCTCTCCTACCAGCCTTCAGCTTTTGCTTTAAGACTGCTTTTCACCAGGATATCTATGAAACATTGCAAATGATGTGCTGGTTCCCGAGCTTCTGACAGCCCTCACTGCCTTCTCTGCCACATCCACCCTCTTCCTCCCCTATACATCAACTACAAGGACCTCTCAGTTTGTGTGCAACTGCCTTGCACAGTAATATTCTGAGCAGTAAAATCGTTTACTAGAAATGCTCCAGCTACTCATCAGCTAGCTGCTGTGCTGCACTCTTCTTCTTGCTGGGGAATGCAAGTGGAAGACAACAAACACATTTCAACTTTTGTTTTTCTATGTAGCTGACAACTGTGCAACTCCTCAGAAAAGTTCCACTCAAAGTTACATTTCATTCCTTTCAAGGCTTCTCCCCCACCCTCTCCAGATTGTAGGCCTGATTTTGATCATGAGAAGAGAACCCGTAACACACATCACCATGTTTGTTGTCTCTTAACGAGGGAAAAAATAGTAAAACTGTTGTCCACCAGGCTAAAAAAAATTAGAAAAAAAGCAAGCAAGGACTTTGCAACGTGCACTTGCACTGTCTTGCCTTACCTCAAATATATTGGCGGGTTCATTGCTGTACTGACTGGAGATGATCTCTGACTGGTCGCTGTACCACTTGAGTCCCCCCAGAAAACTGTCTGCATCCAAGTCGTTCACATCTAGTTCGGAGAGGTCAAGTTCTGGCAGATCTGGGCAAAGAGGCTGGTCTTCACCAACCAGAGCAGCACACTGCAGGAAACAGCAACACAGAAATAGTTTCATTAATTACTAGGAATCTATTAACTTTTAATATCATGTGATAAGAATTAAGCCTCGATTAAGCTATGGCACAGGGTCGCCAGAATTGACTTTGTTTTCTGGAAAAAAATCCCACTAAGTATTAGATAATTGTTAGCTCTATACAGGTATGCAAAGGGGAGGGGGAAACAGGAGGACACAAGCTGCCTTCTCTATCACATCTCTGAACAGCGGCAACAACTTTCCTCCTCCCTATAGTCTTTGGTAACAATCGTGTTCAAAGCTTTATTAAATCCAACAGCCAAGGCCAAAGCATGGCCTTATTCTCCTGCTTCAGAGCGAACCAGTGCAGGTAGAAGTTACAGATGAATACCTCTGGGCAAGGTCTGTCATGCATTTCCTGATGCATTCAGGTTAAAGAGGCACAGCCTGTTACAGCCTTCCGCCCTGGAGGCTAGCTCAAGCTGGAGACAGTCACACTATCAGTCCTACAGATCCTCACCGCAATCCCTGACGTCAGTCACGATGGTGGCTACCATATGGGCATAAAAATGTATGGGTCAGTGATGCTGCTGTGCTCTTTTCCCGATGCACTTGATACACAGACCACAGTCTCCCAGTTATACACGTCAGGGTCCTGGCCACCAAAGCGTGTTCTGAAAAATGCCTATATTCACCTTTGGGGGACAGGCATAGATAGTTCACGCAGCCTTTCATCTGCTTGGTGTGAACATCTATATTGTCCCAGCCAGCTTCCTAAGTATCCCCAGACAATGGCTACAGTGAGGGAACCAAACAGGTTTTCCTCCTCTGGCAGCCTCTGATTCAGTAATCCTAATGTAGAGGGTCTATGAAACACTTTGGTTGAGGCAGTGAAGAAAGTCTTGTCTGCATGGATCCTCTTCAGCAGTGCAAAATGTTTTTGTCTCCGTGACTTACAAACGGAGCAGCGATAAATACAAATGTACCTGGAATAAGCATCCTCTTACACGCTAGTGTGCAGCTAGATATGGTATTGACTGACCTACTAAGCAAGAAAAAAGTAATAATGCACATCCACTTTATCATGGCAATTGTAATGTTAAGAACATCTGCCAAAACCATTTCTTAATTATGGAAAACACACAGTAACAGCTTGGCAAATAGGGGAGTCCCATACGTCAAGGCTCGTTGATGAAGCAATTTCTCCTGCACTGTACCACATACCCTTGTAATTCATCTCCGAACACCTACGTTGGTATGGGCATATTTCAAAACATATGTAAAGCTGCAAAAGTACCAGGCGCTGAATGGTTAAAAGCCATTTAAAGTCAGCTGAGTCTAAGGGCTTCCACCCTGAGTATTTCTAGTGTTGTGTTATGGAGGGTCAACAGCAGGTCCTCCTCGACTCCCATCAGCTGACTGGGTGGTTTGAATGATTTCCCAACTTCTATTTGGACTGAAGTCAACCCAGAAAGTGCCACTTTCTGAAGAGGGATGTCTGTAGGGCACTAGCACAGTGTCCACAGACGTGAATGCTGCTTATGTCATGCTCACAAGGACTGCCTTTTACAATGATGCAGACAGGAGCTGCTGAAGGTGCATTTCATTGAGGTTTTTGTCCCTGGGAATCTTGGTGTGGCTGCAGTGTGCGGGCTGGATGCAGCAGCACAGCCATGAGCAAAGATTTTGTCTGTTGGCACAAAGACTCAGTGCAGCTGGTGCGAGCTATAATTTACCAGACAACTTCTACGTCTACCAAGACTCTACGAGACAATCATGGAATAGGCCAAGGGGTAAGGGAGCCGACAGGCTGCAAAATAGCAGTTGCTTTTCTTTCTATTATTTAAGGGGCTGCAGAACTTTCAGAAGTCAAAACCCCACTTAAGTAATTTTCACTGCACACAATTTTTTATTATTATTTTCATCGGGGGGCGGGGGGGGGGGAAGAAAAAAATTAGAGACTTCCCTCTTCCTTAGTATGAGACACAACATTCTGGCAGCAATCTTATAATGCAGAGACGACCTTTTTTGATGCTTGGCCAAAATCTCTGATCTCATTAAAGGATAATCTAGTTTTGACTGAAAAGGTAGATTCTCAGCATCATTCTCAGGTTTGTGTTGTGGAGGTCAGTAGCTTGTAACTGACGCCGTAGACTTCTAAAGTATCCTGCTGATCTGTTACTGCTTTCGTTTGTAAAAATAGCTTCACTCTGTGAACCACCTACTTAAACATGTTTACTTTTGGTAATCTGCGTTTTTAAGTTCCTACAGTGGGTTTTTGAACCAACATAAACAATGGTATTAAAAAAAAAAAAACAAACCCAAAACTGCCCATTGCAGCTTTCATTTGCCTACAGTGACTGCAGTGTCACCTAAAAAATGTAATTGCTGAAATGAAGTATATATGCTCTTGCCAATGCTGACATGATAATAAAATCAATGTTTCTGAATATGACATTACGCTTCTAATCTGAGACACATTAGTAGCAAGTGTTCCTGTTATTAATTTATATTTGGCCTTTGGATGATGCCAGATTTAACACTCCAAGTCCTAAAACTGTCCTCATCTGACACACTGATATTTACTGTTTGCCTGTACATCTGTAACAGGTGCGCCTGCATTGATAGCATACATTTTACTGTCTTCCCACTGTTATTTGATATGATAGTTATTCCATAACTATAGCCTTAATTTTGTAGTAACATTGAAGAGGATAAAGTAGTCACTAAACACGAAAGGCTAATTACTGTGCGTTATTTCACTCCAACAGACTTTTTTTTCTCTTAGTTCAGGCGCAAACAATAAATTATCTTAACTGCATTGATGATAATGAATCATTATAACTAAGTATAATTCTCTATTAACCTTTTGGACATTTTTGTGCCTTTGAAGGTAAATTAAAAAAATAAAAAAGAAGACTGGACTTGTGCCATATTAATTATATTAATGAAAATATAATCTGTGTTTTAATTTTAACAAATTTTTCAAACAGCCAAGGGGATGAACTCATGAAAGAAAGAGAGACTTGACAGAATGTGTGTCATGTGGATTCTCTCTATCAATCTTTGCAACCTTACTGTACATCACCTTCATTATGCTGTGAAGCACTGGGGACGCTGATCAGCTACAGTGATGCAGGCCTTTATTAAGCCACATGCCATCCTGTCATTACGTGACCGAGAATATAACACATTTTACATTGACAGCAAACATTAGTGATTCAAAAAATGAAAGCTGCCTCCAGTGCCTGCCACCTGCGATATTTTAGATCGGTAAAGGTGATTCCCCGAGCCAAAGCAGCATGCAGCCGCTAGTATTGCTACAGGAAGTGCAATGCAGGAGCACACTGGTAAAATCCTACCCACAGTTAATCCATCCACCACACAATTAATATTAGGATCAAACTCTTTTTCTTTCTTTTTTTTCTCTGCACTATGAAAAAGTCATTCACATAAATTATCTATTTTGTTACTAGCTTGAAATTACTGCAGGAACTCTAGTGATTAAAATAAATCTTCAGTATTTCCATATAAGCTTGTCCCTCAATCAGCTCCTAGCAGCATTAGGAATAATACATGATGGAAAAATGAAGCTACGGCAGCTGAGACCCCTGCTACAAGCCAGACAACAACCCACAGGACACTCCAGCTACTCAGAAACAATTAGGACTTTGGAGCCAGAAAGTCATCCACTTACAGCCTTGACTCATAATAGCTACAGGACATATGAATTATCCATATCTATTCCACTTTACCAAGAAATCAAAACAAGGTAAGAGCAATTACAATATGCAAACAGAAATCAGCAGATAAAATGGCAAGCTGCAAATATTTAAAACATGACAAAAAGAGTTGAGAATACACATGTATGCTCTGCCAGATAGGAAAAATATACTGGAGAACACGGTAACGTTTTTACTTTAGATGGGTAGCTCTCTACGGGCACACGAACATCTTATTTAAAAAGCATCGCCTGTAACCTGTTTTTCCCTCCCCTGTTGCCCGAGGGGAGCATTTTAAGCACTTATTCCAAGCTTGCAGCCAGAGGGTTAGTTCCTTTGAGCAGGTCTGTATTTGAGATTCCTCTCCATGGGGTCCAAAGAAAGTTTGCCTCGCTTCGCAAGTTGCCCGAACTTTCAGGTAACACTCCATTTTGCCGAATGTAAACATGCAGAAATCCTCAAACCTCACTTCATACTCCAGAGATTACCAGGGAGCTGCTTGCCTTTTTTTTTTTTTTTTTTCCTTTATGAATTGTAGCCAGCAGAAGCTGTGGATTTGATGTATTGCCGTCTATTTTTACACAAGCAGCAGCAGCGGCAGTGGCAGCAGCAGCAGTTCACACAGTCCTGCATAAACTCTATTCTCATGGTTCATCCTGTTGTCTCTGTTGTACAGTGGGATTTAACCATTTGTTGGACTACTCGGATTGACTGAGAACCCTGCTCTACGGGACATTAGCTACAGCGTCATTATTCCAGTATCACAAGAAGCAGGGAAATGTCTCCTTCCAGAAATCTCTTTTAAAAGCACCTAAAGCCAAACAACAGGGTATTCATTCTTGTGTGCGTGTTTGAATTCTGCAGCTGATAAACAAGGAAGAAGCCTTCTACAAAGCACAGTGAAATAAGCAATTAAAATATGAAGCCGTTGGTTAATTTTAACTTTTTTTTTTTTTTTAAAGAAACATTAATCTTATTCTAAATAAACATGGCATTTTTCCAACCAGGCCACTAAATGCCACTGGAAAGACTTCAGACACCGATTCATATCAATATCTTAGAGCATAAATATTGCATATGATGGGAAAGCAAGCCAGAGGCACATGAAAATAGTTTCCAACTGCAGGAGATACTGATGACAGGAGCTCAGCTTTGATTTGCTCAAGGCATCGCAGAGTAACCTTAAAATAGCAAACTTACTGGAGTTAAGATAAGATTCAGACTTGTTTGCGAAGTATGCCACCTCGGCCATCCTGCCAGTTCCCTGACAAGCCCACCCTCCCCGCTGGCCGCCCGCGCCCCCCGTGCCCCTCACCTCGAGTTCACTCCATACAGAGTCCTGGTTGCACATGTCCCACGCCATCCAGCTGCGGAGCGACAGCAGGAAAGCTGGCAAACTACGGTCCAGAGTCAGGCAGGCAGGCAGCAGACACTCATGCAGGCAACGAGACCCTCTCTGAGAGTGAACCGAAGGCACCTGTCTTACTACTGTTCCCTGTCACATGACAAAGCTATTAAAAAGTAGGCTGGGCTGTCACTCATCCAGCCTTCTGGTGCCGCTGCTCCAGCCCGTGACGTCACCCAGGGGCAGACCCAGCCTGAAGTGAAGTAAATCTTCGCAAAACCCGCTCAGACTTCGGCGGCCGCGGCACCACGCTGCGATTCAAAGCAGATTTCGACGCCACACCCCCCAAACTCTGCTGCCG